TCAGAACACGATTTGCCTGTTGCCCAGCTCTACTCAAAAGTTGAGGACAGAAAACTTTCAAGTCATTGTCAAGGTTGAGCTTTGGAGATTGAGCCTGAGCTTAAGCTGGGCAATAACTTGTTACTAGAAATTGGGCAACAGACGAATCGTGTTCTGAGAAGCTTTATCTAGAGTACAGCTAGGTTGGGACAAAGTTAAAAACCAGAGCTAGTTAAGCTTAAGCTGGGCAAAACCAAGCCTAAGCCAAAACCAAGCCAAGACAAAGCCAAGGCCAAACCAAGCCAAAGCCAAGCCAAGCCAAGCCAAGGCAAAGCCAAGCCTAAGCCAAAGCCAAGCCAAACCAATGGCTTTCAGGTTTGACCCAGAATTTCAATTTATCGATTGATTTGGCCTAAAATCCACCTAAAGTCTTTGTTTTGGCTTGATTTGATCCGAAATTTGGGGAAATTGAGTAAAAATGCCTAGAAGGCTTGGCCTAGAAGCTTGGCCTAGAAGGCCTAGGCTTTTTTTTGCCTGATGTTACCTGATCCTTTTGCCAACCCTGACAAACAAACATGTTCTGGAAAGCTTTTCAAGAATGGAGCTTTTTCAAGAATGGAGCTAGAATGGAAAACTTGTTCTTTTAATTAGAAATAGTCACAGTAGATTACAGGTTTTCTTCTCAGTGATCCTATTGATTCAATCGCCGGATCTCCTCCGAACTGATGGCCGATATTTCTACTTTTTGGGTCTCTTTGATGGAAAAGGGTGGTGGTTCTTCACAATGCATTTGACAGGTTTAAAATGGAGAAAGGAGAACAATATGTGAACGAGAAGAGCTTTTAGTTTGCATCTCTTGCATTCTCACCTCAATCCTTTTATCGGTGGGGATTCGATTGCACAATTCGTTGCTTTTGATCCCGCATTTGTTGTGGCAGGTTGTAAATTGTAAAAAGGCGTAAAAAGACGTAAAAAGATCGTAATATTAATCATTTCTTTTCATTTTCAGGTGCTTTTCGTTTGTTTCTGTATTGCTTCGATAACGGTGATGATCACGCTCGGGATTGATGGGAAAATGTTGCTCCCATCAAGTGTTGTACTATCAGTGTTGCTTTTCATTCCAGGTTAGTGATGAATTTAGCTTACATTGCATTACATTACATTGGTATCCAGTAGTTGAATCGATCCGCAAGACTTGGTAGACGCTTTAAAGAGTGCCCTGGTTACCGTAACCGTGAGATGGACAAGGGTTAGAGTGCCGACTCTAGTTCGTTTCCATAATGCTTAGAGTGCCGACTCTAGTTCGTTTCCATAATGCATTTCAGAGTGTCCTGGCTATCGTAAGAGGTTACAGAAATCTAGTTTCTACCATAGTTATAGTGAAAATTAAGCTAGGTGGATTTGGGAACCGGCTACCGTAGCGGGTGGCTACCGTAGCGGGTGGCTACCGTAGCGGGTGGCTACCGTAGCGGGTGGCTACCGTAGCGGGTGGCTACCGTAGCGGGTGGCTACCGTAGCGGGTGGCTACCGTAACCCACAACCCAGATGTTACAGTAACCCGAATAGCTTCTACTGTAGTCGTAAGGAGTACTGTAACAACCCTGGAATAGGAAAAATCTAGATTTAATTTGGGTGAGGCTGGATATGCTTTCAGCTAAATCACGGTAGCTGAGGCTGAGGGTGATCGAAACAACCAGTGTTACAGTAATCCAAATAGCTTCTACTGTAGTCGTAAGGATTACAGTAACACCTTCTTAGAGTCGGGCGGGATTATGGGATCTGGTACACTCTTTAGTGCGCTCAAAATCTAGTTAAAAACCAAATCAATCAACCAATCTAACCATTCAAAATCTGGAAAATTCAAATTCTAGGCCTCTTCGAAGTTTGGTGGTCATTTTTGACGTATCAACTCTTCAAACAACTCTATGTCTTCGGCTCAACGTTTAAAGAGGATCGAAGAGAGCAATCGAGTGACGATCTACAGTATTATTCGACTGAAATTTGATCTTTATCATTATTCATTTGATATTTATCTTTATCTTGATCTTTATTCTTTAAACCTTTAAACCTTTATCATTGTTTATCCTTGAGTTTTTTGTACCTTTTCATATCGAGCTTTTTTTCTTTCTACGGGTGAATAAATATTCATTTTGCAATGTTCTATAACTTGATTTTTAAAGGAACTTATTTATTTAAAAGTTATTTATTTAAAACTTATTTATTTAAAACTTATTTATTTAAAACTGAATAATTCTATCCTAGAATAGTGGAATGATCCAAGAATAGAAGCTAATGAAGTTCACTAATTAAACAACAAGGCTTCACATGGGCTGGCCAGGCAAAAGCTAGTCCTAGCCGGGCACAGGCTAAGAAGATCATTTGTCCAGTCACACAGAACAATACAGAACAATAAGCACAACACCGTCACAGAAGTTTTTCACATGAGTCAACTGCTCATTGCATAGAACCGTTGTAGGCATTGTGGGCAAGTGAACGGATTTCATCGATCTCACAATTGAATCTTCTTTTAAAAGACATTTATTCACACGAATAATGTGATAAAAACAATACACAAGCACAACCCCGGCACAGAAGTTACACAGAACAATACACAGGCACAGCACCGTTACGTTGGTTACAAGCTTACACCTTGATTACGCTAATAAATAAAAGAAAAAAATAACTTTCAATAGCACTTTTTCTTTAAAATTTTAAGCATTGAAAAGAACGCGAAACTCGTTTTAAACCCTTGCTTTTGTTTGTCCGTCCGTCTGTTTGTCTGTGCGCAAACGCGACGCTCCAAATTCCGGGGGCGCGATTCGGTATGCCATCGGTAAGCTTACGATTACGCTGATTACAAGCTTACACCTTGGTTACGTTGGCTACAAGCTTGCACCCTGGTTACGTTGGCTACAAGCTTACACCTTGGTTACGTTGGCTACAAGCTTGCACCCTGGTTACGTTGGCTACAAGCTTACACCTTGGTTACGTTGGCTACAAGCTTGCACCCTGGTTACGTTGGCTACAAGCTTACACCTTGGTTACGTTGGTTACCAGCTTACACATCGATTACGCTAGTAAATAAACATAAAAAAATAACTTTCAATAGCATTTTGTCTTTAAAATTTAAAGCATTGAAAAGAACGCAAAACTCGTTTTAAACCCTTGATTTTGTTTGTCCATCCGTCTGTTTGTCTGTTTGAACGCGACGCTCCAAATTCCGGGGGCGGGATTTAGCGGTGCCATTGGTAAACAAGGGCTTAGGGGTTTTCGCCTATGGGGAATCCGATTTTGAGGTTTATTTTCAAAATAAACACGTTTTAGAGAAGGAGAAGACGCTCTAATTAGGACCAGAAGCTACGTTATTGTTGTAAAAACGAAAACCTTAGCAATCTCACCGATCAATTATTGTTCATTGACATTTTTCAAAACATGTCTCTAATCATTAAACTATTTCACCTTTTAACTCTTTTGAACAAATTCCAGACCAACTTCCAGCCGATTTCTGTGGCTGAAGTCATTTCGGAGATCACATTCCCCATCATCAAGCCATAATTCGATCTCTCAATGGTGAGAGTGCGATTGGAGAGCAAAACTCATCTCATCCACATGAAAAGTGAAAAAGAAAACGAAAAAGAAAAGGAAAAAAGAAGGTTATCACCCGATTGGATCTCTCTTTTTTGTTTTTCTGATCAAGAGAAACAGACTTGTGAGATTATAAACTCTTTTCCTGAAATGATTTCATTGTTGACTAACAAGATAGATGTTCTGATGTTCACAAGCACGCAAGATATTTGAAGATTTCTCGAATAGACTCTAGTTTTGTCAGTGTTAAATCGAATCCGACAATTGGAGAGATTTTTGAGTTCGATCAAACTTTCAGATTTATATCATTCCCAACAAAGGATCTTAAAGTTATTTCATTGAAAAGGTTCATTTTTGAGATCGATGAAATCCGTCTTTGACAATAGGCTCGAGAGCAGGTCCTGAGATCAAGCTAGAGCTCAAGATCAGGTCCTGGGCTCAAGCTAGACCTCAAGATCAGGTCCTGAGCTCAAGCTAGAGCTCAAGATCAGGGCCTGGGCTCAAGCTAGACCTCAAGATCAGGTCCTGAGCTCAAGCTAGAGCTCAAGATCAGGGCCTGGGCTCAAGCTAGACCTCAAGATCAGGTCCTGAGCTCAAGCTAGACCTCAAGATCAGGTCCTGAGCTCAAGCTAGAGCTCAAGATCAGGTCCTGGGCCCAAGCTAGAGCTCAAAATCAGGTCCTCAGGCCTGGATCAGGCTCAGGATTAGGCCCAAAGCAAGGTTCAAGAATGAATGCTAAATGCTGTCATAGTCCAAGAATTGCTCTACCAGCAAATCCATTTTTGGCAATATGTGAAAGTTTGACTTGAAAATTACCCTGAACACTTTCAAAACTCTTCAGAACTCTCGAAGAGCCTAAACAATTGAAAGCAGAGAAGTATGACGAATTTCTTCAAATTCCGGATATCTAAGAAGTGATCTAGCTCGAAAGGCCGAAAAAGTACAAGAAATTCGCCAAAAATCTATTTTAAAAGTAAACGATCTGTGATCGAATTCAGCAAGCCGCCAATTGTTCGCTGAATTTCTTGCAATTCTTTTTTTTTCAAAAAGTTTACCGATTTTTCGGTCTCGTGCTGTTTTTATTTGGGAATTTGGGAATATCCTGTTGATAAAACTTTAGAGATGGATTTTATGAAGAGAAAGAAGGAAAAGAAAAAGGAAAAGGAGAAGGAGAACTTTTAACCCATGAAAAAGGACTAGCCTGTGTTGTTGAGGAGAAGAAAAGGAGCCAGTACAATTCGCTGAACACACTGTTTGCTGGCTTTGTCGAAGCGAGTCTATAAATGGATTGGAGACAAGGAAACGAATGTTTCTTTTTCTTCTAGTTTTGAAACTTTGAGATTCATATTTGAGATTCATCTGATTTCGAAATTACATAGCTTTTTCGATTTGAAACTTTAGAATTCTTTGGCTCGTGAAGATTCCAACTTTTAATGATGAAATCATTTCTACCGCTTCTCGTTGCAGCTGGTGAGTGATTTAAAGATGCATTCTAAGCAACCTTGATTATTCAACTTACAACTTCAACTTAAAGTATTTTGACTTTATTGTTCTTTGACTTTATATTGTTCAACTTACAATACTCAGGCTAGTTTCAATCAATTGTATTTCCTGATCATTTTGATGAAGATCTTTCAGGTTTTGAAGCTTTAAAGTTTGACCTAAGCTTAAACCTAAGCCTGAGCCTGAGCCTAAGCCTAAACCTAAGCCTGAGCCTGAGCCTAAGCCTAAGCCTAAGCCTGAGCCTGAGCCTAAGCCTAAGCCTGAGCCTAAGCCTAAGCCTAAGCCCAAGAGCATCGCCAAGCGGGTGTTCCTTAGCTTCGAGAACTGGCTGAGATCCAGAAAATGGGGGTTCAGCCCAAACCAAATAGACTTAGTGCGAGGCGCTAGCCGCTAGCTTTTCCGCTAGCCTAAGCCACCCTAAGCCTAAGCCTAAGCTCGGTTAGCATTAACAATAATAAAGTAAGGAATGACAAAAAAAGATTTGTGGAGATTGCTTTCTGGGTAGATGCTCTAACCACTGAGCTATCCGGTAATTTGCCAGAGAAGAAAGAGAAAGAAAAAAAGGAAGAGAAAGAAAGAAAGGAAGAGAAAGAAAGAAAGGAAGAGAAAGAAAGGAAGAGAAAGAAAGAAACGAAGAGAAAGAACCCAGTAGTCTTATTTATCGTAATATCAGTAAACTTATTCATACAAAGCAAACGGTTGAAGCTCTGGTGTGAGCTTTAGGCGGAGCTGGAGCTGGAGCTGGAGCTGGAGCAGCTGGAGCAGTCGAATACCAGTGACTGTTTGGAAAAGTTCGCAAATAGACAAATATGTTAGGCATGAGTAAATAAGGTTTAAAAATTTATTCTTTATAAAGCCCATTACTTTCTAGCTTGTCTGATCTACGTGCAAGCACACGGTGGAGGACATGGTGGAGGAGGCGGACATAGTGGAGGAGGACATAGTGGAGGAGGACACTCTGGTGGAGGAGGACATTTCGGTGGTGGAGGAGGACATTTTGGAGGAGGTAGACAAAACGTTATTTATAGATAAAGCGATTTTTATCTATAGTACCTTTATCCAGAGAATTTTTCAAGGAAATCACTTATTTGATGATAAGATTGGAGTTTCAGAGTTGAGTCATAGATATAACTATTGGGTTGTTCGGATATAAACGAGCGTTTGCACTGCTTAACACGTGAAGAAGCCATTTCCCGCATCTGATCGTCTTTCCAATGGCGTGGAGAGCTTCAATGGTCGAATTTCGGTTTCACGGTCGAATTTGGCCGTTCTCCTGGTCCTAGCCATTGCCGTTTTCGAATAGTATTATCGAAATGGATCCACTTCTCATCTCCAGTAACGAGAGAACCAAAAAAGCCATGATCTTTAGCGTGACGGATGAGAATTCCGGCATAAGCGATCCGTGAATCCTTGTTTGCACTGCTTAACTCGTGAAGAAGCCATTTCCCGAATCTGATCGTCTTTCCAATGGCGTGGAGAGCTTCAATGGTAGCTCATCAATGGTAGAATTTGAACATAGAAACTGTTGAGCAAGTTCACGCGTCGTTTGACATGGATCCGATTCGATTGCAGCCTTCAAAATATCGTTGTCTACTGCTTGAGGTCGACGAGAGTGTTCATGATCCTTCATGATCCTTCATGATCCTCCGATCCATGACCGAGACTTTCATCACCATTCCGAAAGAGTTGGAACCAGGTTCAGCATCGGCTTTCAGACAATACATCATTGTACATCATTCCCAAATGCTTTGACCAAATCTCAATGGGATTCCGCGACTGTTTTGCCCAGTTTTAAATTCGTAAAGTAGGCAGACGCGTACTTTATATATTTGAAGTCGGTCATCTAAAGCAAGAAAAAAGAAAAAAAGATCTTAAAAATAAGAAATTATCCGTTTAAAAAGATTCCAAATATGCACAAGATAACGTACTTTGTACTGTAATGTACTGTAATACAGAAAGACATGTTTTAAAAGCTTCTCTCACAACAATAAGTTTAGCAACGCTTTTTTATACCCGAACAACCTAATATAAAAGTAAACAATAAAAGCATATCTAGATAATAAAGATAATTAGCTAGTGGCTTATTATAATCTTTATCTATAAGATCTATAAGATAAAGCTTTAGAGAAGATTTATAAAAGTTTTGAGGTGGTTGGGGAGGCGGACATCACTGGGGTGGCGGTGGATGGGGACACCATTGGGGTGGAGGCGGATGGGGAGGTAAATTTTGCAAATTTCTCACAAAATTCTCATAAATTGTACTGAAAACTTTCATAAGATTATGATTTTGTAAAAATTTGTGCAAAATTTCAATAGAAACTTGAAGATCAAAGCTGGGATTGACCCGGCAATGAGCTGGAGTTGCTGTTTAGATTCTAGACTTGTAAAAAGCTTGAAATGCTTTAATTAAACTTTACTTTACAAGCTTTACAGTTGAAAAGACTCTTTTCTTTTAATCGAAGAGCTTAAGTTTAAGTTTTTGTTTTAGTTTTTAAGTTTTAAACCTTATTAGAGATTGGTAGCTCGGTAGTGCTTATCCACTGTACTTTGTGCTCATAGTTGCGTGGAAATGCTCGCTCTCTAGCACACTTAACTAGTAACTGAGTATGGGAAAGAACGTGAGTTTACATAGAGCTTAAAGAAAGCTAGATCAATTTCTAATTGTAATCAAAACGATCTCTTTTTTTAGGTGGTCACCACGGTGGATGGGGAAATGGAGGTGGATGGGGAAATGGAGGTGAGATCTTCTTTTCCTACAAAAATATATCAATTTTCCGATTAGTTAATGCAATTTGTAACTAAATGAATAATATATAGCAAAGTGCACTCTTACCACACTCTTATCACTCTTATCGAGATTCCTGGACGCAAATTGTTAAACCATAGTCTAAATAAGTAGCTAAAGGATAGAGTGATAGAGAATAGAGAATAGAGAATAGAGAATAGAGAATAGAGAACTAAGGCTAATAAACTTTGTGATAGAGAACTAAGACTAATGAAATTTGTGATAGAGAGAGAGCTAAGATTAGTAAACTTTGTGATAGAGAACTAAGGCTAATAAATAGTACCGTAATACCGTAAATGTAAATTCTCAGCTACAAAGATAGTACTTTAAAGAAGAAGTCAAAGAAGAATTGGACTTGGCTAGTTCTTCTCTGGCATCCAGACTTAAGGGATCCAGACTTAAGGGATTCAGACTAGAGCCAAGTTCAGTTCTGAGTCGAAAAATGATTTAAAACAATGTCTTGGCCTTGGCCGACCTAGCTTGGCCGACCTAGCTTGGCCGACCTAGCTTGGCCGACCTAGCTTGGCCGACCTAGCTTGGCCGACCTAGCTTGGCCGACCTAGCTTGGCCGACCTAGCTTGGCCGACCTAGCTTGGCCGACCTAGCTTGACCAATTAACTTTAGGCTTTTGTCTGATCTAGTTCTGAGATTGCCAGGTTAGATAAAATGTCAGTTTTGAGTTAATTTAGGCGCTAGGCTTGACCAGCTTTCACAATTAGCTCTCCAGATCAAGTCTAGACCAGGAGCTTGGCGTCTAACAAGTCGGGCGTCAAGTCGGGCGTCAAGTCGGGCGTCAAGTCGGGCGTCAAGTCGGGCGTCAAGTCGGGCGTCAAGTCGGGCGTCAAGTCGGGCGTCAAGTCGGGCGTCAAGTCGGGCGTCAAGTCGGGCGTCAAGTCGGGCGTCAAGTCGGGCGTCAAGTCGGGCGTCAAGTCGGGCGTCAAGTCGGGCGTCAAGTCGGGCTTTGAGTTGGTCTTGCACGTGGCTAGGAAAGCTGAAGCAGGAGTCGAACCCATGCAAATGTACAGCCAAACGTTTCGAAAACAAAAGCGCTAACCAATAGACTACAGGGCTGTGCTTTCTCCCAAAATTCGCACATCTAAACAAAAAAAACAACAACAACAACAAAACGCGACTTTCTTCACAAAGATTTCAGTGACTTCAAAGTAATTTTAGTATCACTTTTAACAAATATAATATATTTTTGGACTTGGCTTGACGCTGGTGTGGTCTCAGCATCAAATTTTTGACTAGAAAATGAAAATACGATATTCAAATGAATAAAACGATAGTCTAGGCGGTTGGCATCATGGCTGGGGCAACGGCGGAGGATGGGGTAATTATAGAACAATTCTAGATAAAATATAATATAATTAGAGAAGAAATCTAGATATTAACTGCTATAATTTGCAGGGTGTATAATTATAAATATATAATTTGCAGTGGTGGTTGTTCACTTGCTTGCTAGTGTTGCTAGTGTAGATTTGTGCTTGCTAGTGTGCTTTGTACTTGGAAATGGATCCTTTCAAAGGCACTAAAAGCTGGAAAAGTCAGTGGGCTAGAAAGGATGTGTTTCTACAGCTTTTGGAGCAAAAAGTGCAACGAATTGCAAAGTCCAAAGAGTCCAAAGAAGGCCAAAGAGTTCAAAGAAGGCCAAAGGCCAAAGAACGCCAAAGAGTTCAAAGACCAAAGGCCAAAGAGTTCAAAGAGTCCAAAGAGTCCAAAGGTCAAAGGTCAAAGAAGGCCAAAGAGTCCAAAGGCCAAAGAAGGCCAAAGAAGGCCAAAGAAGGCCAAAGAGTCCAAAGAGTCCAAAGGTCAAAGGTCAAAGAAGGCCAAAGAGTCCAAAGAGGGCCAAAGAAGGCCAAAGAATTCTTACAGGTTGGAGACATCATTACTGGCCCTCGTACGGTGGTGGTAATTATGGAGGATATGGAGGATATGGAGGATATCCATATTATGGATATGGTGGCCTAGGAGGTTTGTCTCACTCATCTCCAGCAAGAGAACTTTGCATATCTTTACTCAGACATACTGTAGTAGGTTCAAAGCTACCGTACTGCTAAAGTATGTCTGGTACTAGATTTATAACAAAAACTTTTTGTCAGTCCTCTTTTGCCATTGGCAATTTAAAGTTTTTCGTGTTTTTCTCAACATCAACCCTTCCATTTTGACTATCTTGACTATCATTGGATGCAGAATAAAATTGCGCGTCGAATGATGCCAAAATTAGCTCAAAATCTGATATCCATGCATTAACTCCGGTCCATAATAGGCAAGGTTTAGGTTTTTAGCCAATAACATTGCATGGATATTAGATTTTGAGTTGTTTTTGGTATCATTCGACGCGCAATATTATTCTGCATCGAATGATAGTCAAGATAGTCAAAATGGAAAGATTAGTGTTGAGAAAAACCTTAAATTGCCAATGGCAAAAGAGCGACAGATATTTTTGTTACAAGTCTACCGATACTGTTGTCTAAAGTCTAAAGTAAGCCCACTACAGTGAGCTACGCTAAGTCTGTCTAAAGGTTCTTTTTCTAAAGTTTCTAAAGTCTAAAGTAAGCCCACTACAGTGAGCTACAGTCTGCCTACTACAGTTTGCCTACTACAGTAAGCCGACTTCAGCAAGTCTAATAGTTATTGTAGTTACAGTAAACCTAGGAGTTTATGCTAGACATACAACAGTAAACATCGTAAGCCTACTGTACTGTTGTAGGCTTGCTGTACTGTTGTAGGCTTGCTGTACTGTTGTACTACTGTACTGTTGTACTACTTTACTGTTGTACTACTGTACTGTTGTCTATTGTACTGTTGTACTACTGTACTGTTGTACTACTGTACTGTTGTCTACTGTACTGTTGTCTACTGTACTGTTGTCTACTGTACTGTTGTCTACTGTACTGTTGTCTACTGTACTGTTGTCTACTGTACTGTTGTCTACTGTACTGTTGTCTACTGTACTGTTGTAGGCTTACTGTAGCTCAAAGTAAAAGTTTGATACAATACAGTATTTTCAGTCTCTAGCTTTCAATTCAATTTCAGGCTTGGGTCTTCTCGGGTATGGTCTTGGTGGCTACAGGTATGGTTACCCTGGATATGGATACAGCGGATATGGTTATGGGTATCCAAACTACTATGGATACAGTAGTCCATGTGAGTTAGATAAAGTAAAAGCTAGTTTAGACTAAGCTAACCATTTCTCTTACTAAACGTAAACCATTTTCCTTTCATTTTTCAGACTATAGCTTTGGCTATTGATTGACGGGCTTATTAAAACCAATTTCTGAGATTATTGTTTATAATTTTAGACTACAGCTATGGCTACAATAATGGCTACAATAATGGCTACAATAACTACAATCAGAATTATGGAAGTTATGGAAGTGGATGTCAAGGTGAGCTGCAGAATTTTAGTAGATGAAAGAGGAGTGTTTTGAGTTTTGATGTGGTTTTGAGCAAGCTTTTGACTCAAAAACACTCCAGAAACTGTAATCCAGCGGATTGAGATCCAGAAACAGACTGTTCCGGTAATTAATACCGTTAAAACTAAGAAGGAGCTGATTGGATCGATCTTCTCGCTTTTTCCTAGTTGGTGAGGAACAGTTCTTTTGAAAACTTGTAAGCTTTCATTCCCGTTTTTTTCACAATTCTCCTCATTGAACGAGCTGAAACCATCATGCTCTTGGTCATTTTTTGTTGAAAACGGGCTCTTTTGTACTTGGGGTCGTCTACGGATCTTCGTGATCTTGGCCTTGGATATTGGCCGTGATATTGGCCGTGATATTGGCCGTGATATTGGCCGTGATATTGGCCGTGATATTGGCCGTGATATTGGCCACCGTTGGCTTCATCCCGTGTCCTGGGCGGTCAGCATTTGTTTGAAGAGACTTGTATCGAGCAATCGTCCTTGAAATCATCAATTGATGGATCATTAGGCCATTGCTTACAGTAACTAGGCTTACAGCAGCTAGGCTTACTACAGCTAGGCTTACTGTAGCTAGGCTTACTGTAGCTAGGCTTACTGTAGCTAGACTTACTGTAACTAGGCTTACTGCAGCTAGGCTTACTACAGCTAGGCTTACTGTAGCTAGGCTTACTGTAGCTAGGCATTAATACTATTACATTACAGTACTCACAGTATTTGTACAGTCACAGCCATCATAAAAACTTGCACTTTATGCTCAAAATGAGAAAACACACCTCTTCTAGCGCACCGAATTCTTCATTTCCTTCAGAAACAGTTAAGACAAATGACTCTTGCACCAAAAAGAATGCGTTTCTTTCTATTTCTTGAGTTCAAAGCACATTTAAATGATAAAGATGCTTTCAAATGATAAAGAAATAGATTATTTTATGTTTAATAAACAAACTTTATTTCATAAATCGTAAATAAACTTTTGACTTTATCTCAAAAGTGATAAGCTTTTCAGTGATAAGCTGGCGACGTCGTCTCTTCGGCGGTATCATGTACACTTGCTATTGCTCGGCTCGTGGAGCCTATGTTCAACAAATTAACGGATGTCCAGCTTATTGAAAACTTTTACAAAAGTCATTCAAATTGCTTTAAATCAATGCCCCAATCCATTCTTTTTGACTTTCCTTTATTTCGTCGTCATTCATATCAATTTTGATCTCTCTTTTGTGCCAATAAAAGATTGATATCGTTTGCTTTACGTCAAAAACAAGAAATAAACAAGAAACAGCTTGAATTTCGATGAAAATGCTTGCATGGAAGTGCTCTATATCACTAGTAAGTCTAGGCCTGGCTTAGGCTAGGCCTGGACTGGTCTGGCCGAATCTGGGCCAGGCCAAGCCTAAGCCTAAGCCTGGAGCCCTGGCTCTAACTCTGGAAACTGATCTCCAGTTCAAATCTTTAGTCACTATAGGTTCAGACCTAGGTTCGGTTTGATGAACTAAGCCTAGATTTGGCCTTGATTCTAACTTTAGGCCAAGCCTTACAGTAGGCTTTAGGCTACAGTCTTAGAGTAGGTTTTAGGCTACAGCTTTACAGTAGGCTTTAGGCTACAGCCCTACAGCCTTACAAACCGAGCTCCAGATCCAATGCATAGCCAGAAGATCAAAAAATAGCATAGCCTGAGCTAGTAATAAAGTAGATCAACTAGTAATAAAGTAAGGAATGGCAAAGGAAGATTTTCGGAAAGGGGATTGAACCCTCGACCTTTCGCTTTCCGGGCAATTGCTCTAACCAGATGCTCTAACGACTGAGCTATCCGTCATTTTCTTGCCAGAGAAGAAGGAGATACAAGGGGAAAGAGAAAGGAAGATAGAGAAGGAATAGACAAAGTCAACTGTACTAGATATTTGAGGAGTATTCTATTTTAATGTTTTAGCACCCGACCAGAACTAGACTTATAAACAGACCATCAGTAAAGCAGAGGCAATCAGTAAAGCCAGAAGTTAGGCTAAAGAAAGCTAGGATTGATTTGGTTCGAAAGAAATTCACTTTAGACTAGTCAGTAGTTAGTATTTTTGTTGAGAAATCAGTAGTTTTTTATATTTTCTCCTTAAAAATCAGATGATTTGCATTTTGCGGCCGAATTTGCATATCAAATTCTGGAAAAAAAGATAAACAAATCTCTGGCATAAGGGTTTCCAGTCTTTCAAAGCGATTTCCTTTGTTCAAAGCCAGCTTCCCCGTTTTGAGTGTCACTATCGCCACTCTCCGTGATCTTCAAACTGTTCATCTCTTTTCTATGAATTCCCCTAAATCATTTAATTGTTTATTTTATCAATAATGTAGTCTGAAATGGATAAAAGCGGCTCTTCTGAAATCTTCTGAACTTGTTTATCTTTTGTGTGTAAAAAATTAGCGCTAGCGGGGTTTGTGGAGTTCTTGTTATAGCCAATACCTGCATTTATGCTATTTACAACAAAGTTTAAATAAAACCTGCATACAACAAAGTCTAAAATGTATAAAAGTGTTAGCAAAAAGCCTTGATTGATGAATGATGAAAGAGGTGCTCTTTGTGCGCGCACCCAATCGCTCTTCATCTGGCATATCCGTCTAGCATAAGGGTCTTCGCTTTCAGATCAATTTTTAAAAATCAAAGCCAGCTTCCCCTTTTTGATCGTCACTATCGCCACTATCCGTGATCTTCAGACTGTGATTTCGAAATGGAAACGAGAGCCGAGAAGATGAGCATCGCGAAGGACGTTCTCGAAAGCTGGATGAGTCTTAACTTTTGCAAATTATCGAAGAAGATCCCACTTGCATCACTCAAACTCTTTTCTATGAATTCCCCTAAATCATTTGATTGTTTATTATATTAATCATGTAGTCTGAAATGGATAAAAGCGGCTGAAAAAAGGCTATATTGATGAATTTGAGCTTTTTCAAAGACTTTGAACATTTTCAGGAATTTTAGAAGTAAGAAGAAGTAAGAAGTAAGAAGATGATAGTGGCTATAAAAAGAAAGTATCTAATTATCCTTACAAATGCAATCAATTCGTTTTTTTTTCGCTCGTTTTCATGCTTTCACTGTTCCCAAAAATCTGTCTTTTACGCTTTTTTTAAATTTAAATAAAATTAGATATAAAAAGTATGATTTTTTTTTATAGATAAAAGTGCCAACAAGATTAGAAAATTAAGCGATATTAAATTGTTATTGTATTCAGGAAAAGATAAACAAATACCGGAGAATTGTTATTACAACTTTCTGGTGTTTTTGAATTCGGCTCTCTCCAGAGCGCCTCCAGAAGGAGGCCTTTTCTCATACGCTAACCTTCCATTTCCTCTAAAAGCTCTCACAGTTTCTTTTTTAATCGAGTTATTAAATTGTGGAGCCTTTTACCCCCTCATTAAATTTAATTTAATCAAGCTATTAAATTGTGGAACCTTTTACGGAGCGCCTCCAGAAGGAGGTCTTCTCTCGCACGCTAACCTTGCTCTAAAAGCTCTCACAGTTTCTTTTTTAATCGAGTTATTAAATTGTGGAATTGTTTAAATTGTTAAAACGCCTCTTGTTCGTGATATTTCATCTTGCTTAGATTTAAAAACCACAATTTCAGCAATTGATTTTGACTGCTCTGTGATTCTTTCTTCAGGTATCTTTTTATCTTTTGATCTTTTTGTGTTTGTTTTGAGTGATGTCCTGGGTGATTATTGTAATCTTTTTTTATCGCTATTCAACTCAATAAAGTATAAAATGTTATGTAAAATTTCAATAAAATTAGAGATAAAAAGTATGATTTTTTTTTATAGATAAAAGTGGCAAAAAGATTAGGAAATTAAATGATATTAAAATTGTTATTATTGGGTTGGGGAGAATGAGTCGGCGCCAAACTTTAAAGGGACTTTTTGCACACATAAAGCCTTCTTTAAACATACGTTTGGTTTCATCAAAAGGATCCACTATTTCTCTACAAAATCACTTTTGAGAGATTCCACAAAGCTTTTCTTTCGTGGAGTTTATGAACTTCCAAACGCAGCTGGTTAAAATGGCAAAGAGTCCGACTCATCATTTGAACAGTTTCTTTCACATAAACCTTCTTTGGTGTTTATATAAAAAAGATAGAGCACACTCAATTACATAAGTTACCAAATTTGCAGGAAGATCCCACCAATGGTTTTTTCTAGATCACAGTTTGTAGTTTTTGTGAAAAAATGGCTTTTTCTTGAGCGGAGGCGCTGTTTGAATTTTCTTTTAAATGTCATTTTGTAGAGAATTCGTTAACCATTCTACTCATATCAAACGCATATTATTTGACGAAGTCGAATAGAAGTTTTAGACATTTTTTTCATTTTCTTTTCTTTTCTTTTCTTTTTTTGGGATTTTATGGATTCCCAAACACAGCTAATCAAAATGACAAAAAGTCCGACTCATTGCTTGAACAGTTTCTTCCACATAAACCTCCTTTGGTGTTTATATAAAAAAGATAGAGCACACTCAATTACTTAAGTTACCAAATTTTCAGGAAGATCCCTCCAACCGTTTACTCTAGATGACAGTTTATCGATTTTGTGAAAAAAATGATCCTTTGTTGAGTTGAGGCGCTGTTTGAGTTCTCTTTTAAATATTATTTTGTAGAGAATTAGTTAACCTTTCTACTGATATCAAACGCTTTTCATTTGACAAAGTCTGCGAGAAGTTTTAGAAATTTCTTTCATTTTCGGCGCCGACTCATTCTCCCCAACCCAATATATTGAGGAAAAGATAAACAAATACCTGTAAGAAATATGTTTATACTTTGATTTTTATAATTTCTTGTGTGGCCGTGTCTCGGTGTGGTTCAATGGCAGATGTCTTGAAAACGCACAATAGAGAAAAGGAACAAATCTATACCAAAAAGGAACCAAATCTTTATCAAAACTTTCCCTTATTAGGGCAAAATTCGCTCAAACTCGAGCAAACTGGCACTATCAAAATTACTTCAACACTTGGGTGTGGAAAAAAGGATGAATACAAAAAGGAGCACACAACTGACTCAAGACAAAGCTTAAATAATGCGTTTTTAAGTACGACAAGCTACGCCAAACGGACAACTGAATATCGTCTAGTGGCTGATTAGTAGTTTATCCATCAGCTTTGAATTTTAAGTTGTTTATTGAATTTTGACTAACTGCAGAGCAGAGACAATTTGCCACAATGCCAAACAATTGTTAAATTGTTATTTCAACTCAACTCAATTCAATTTTTTTTTGGTGAAAACCCGTTTCGATTACTACATTCATATCCAAAACAGAAGCTTGTTTTTTAGTCGAAAAAATCGCGGGATTACCCAGAAAACAGAACCTGACAGTTTTTTTCACAAAAAAACTACCCCTAAAATCTAAAAATTTCATTTCCTTTTCCTACAATTATTATTAAAAGCCATTTTCTTTTTCAATTCAAATCTTTCTTCTTATCTTTCTTTCTTTCTTCTTTCTTTCTTCTTTCTTCCTTCTTTCTTTCTTTCTTTCTTTCTTTCTTTCTTTCTTTCTTTCTTTCTTTCTTTCTTTCTTTCTTTCTTTCTTTCTTTCTTTCTTTCTTTCTTTCTTTCTTTCTTTCTTTCTTTCTTTCTTTCTTCTTTCTTCTCTTTAAACTCAAAAATCGTTCATTGATGAGAATCGCTTCGAGATTTTCAGATTTTCGGCTTTTCCGGTCAATTCTTAAGAATTAAGATCAAGATTTGCAAATTTTTAATGCTTTCCCGGATTAAGTCGATCGAATTCTTCAAAAATAGAACTTTTCTGTGGTTTTGTAGGATTTTCCTACGCAGTTAAGCTCGGAAATTCGTCAAAATCGGATGATCGCAAAGAGTTTGATGGATTTGAACAAGGTCGCTGCAATTTTGTTCAGAAAAATGTCTATTATGTAGGAAAAAAGGCTAAAAATAGCCTTAATCCCTCTAATAGAACTTGAATTTCTATTTTTCTTCATAATTTTCACTTTTCTATCTTAGCTACGTTAATCCAAATGTTCAAAAGTTATCATAGACCTCAAAATGACAACAAGTTTCTCTAATCTCACACTATTTTTTTTCTATTTTCTTTAGTGAAGCAAGGCACAAGGAATCTATTGAAATAATCTA